CTTAGGGAGGCTGCTCCCCCCCCCCCCGCCAGGCGAGGGCTAAGTTGGAGACAGTGGTGGGACTAAGATGTTCGTTGGAGCAACTCCAAGTATTTTATCGACCTCTGCCCATGTGCGTTCTAGGATGGAAAAATGGCATGTGCGGGCGAGGGTTAATGCTTTTATTCATCTTGCCAGGGCCCAAGCATGCACATATTTGCTATCAATGCACATGACAGAACAGATAACATCAGCTGGTCAAACACATGATACCACACGTATCAGTAGTCTACTGTTATTCTTTGAAAATAAGCCTATCCATAAACACCTTGATAAACTGCTTCACAAACCCAATAAGTGCTTGTGGTTATGATTATGAGTTGACAAAGGTGCTTGCAGAATCATAACCAAACTACTGTAACAATAAAAATACCTGTTTTCTCTTGCTTTTTCCATTTCAACTCGGATCTTTGGTTACAATCATCTCTGGAATGCCTATTTATCACACATTTCAATCCATCTTCTGATGAAAACAAAAAATAAAATAACCAACGCTCTATCACTCACTCCTCATCTCAATCTTTTAATATCTCAATCTCATCACATTTTCCACCAATCTTCTGAGTGTGTCAATATCAAAAAGGTAATCTCTTCGCAATTGTGAGTTGTCTCTTCTTGTCGAAAACAAAAATAAATAACAAACGCACACCTGTCGGGCGTCGGCAGCCAGCCAGCCCAAACAACAACAAGACCGAGGATACCAATGCGTAAATACAATTTGATTTAGTAGCCTTGCGATAATTCAGTTTGTATATAGCGCGCAACCACTGTCTCATAATTGTCCCTACCAGCCGCTAGACGCACTCGTAATATATAATATCACACGGGGCCGGTAAAATGTTTCATTCAGGACCGAGGGATTTGTTGAGTTTTCCGCACGAGACCGACGGTCGAGGGCGGAAAATTCAACAAAGCCCTCGGTCCTGAATGAAACATTTTACCGGCCCCGTGTGATATTATATATTACTTATTAGCATATGCCGGAGTATGTCTTTAGCATTAGCGCGAGCGTGCGGTAAAAGCTTTTTAGATTAAACCGCATAATGTTGAAGGCTATTGAGCAAAGGTTTCGGCCCATGGGCAAAACATTTTATCAGCGAACTTTTGAAGCATTTCCTGAGACGGAGGAAGGCGCTGGAAAAGAGCTTAACTGATAAAAATCTAACGTGAACTTACGTGTTGCATTTGGTCGCTTTGAACTATTGAAGATTGTAAATGTTGGTTTTCAATAAGATAATATTTGAAATCCTAATGTAGGTACAGACATATTAATTAATCACCTACATTTATGGCGTCAATTTCATGCCTTTTACAACTGCAATGAATTGACAAAAAAAAAAACGCATTTCACATTGATCAGTAAAAACTTTATTCATACTGACATGGGTAAAAAACCAAGCGCTCACTTCACTTCACCTTCCACTCTTCTTACGGAGCGAGCGAAGCGAGCGTAGTCTTTCCTTAGATTAACCCTATTCCTGGCGGGGGGGGGCCTCAGGAGCCCCCCCCTGAGGTTTTTTGGTTATATCTCCCAAACGCGTTGAGCTAGGAAGCTCAAATTTTCTGACTTTTCCTAAAAGGCTTCTACGCAACATGTCTGAAAATTTTGAGTTGATCTGACCTCAGGTCAGGTCACCAGAGGCGGTTTGGTGACGCTACCTCAGAAAAGTTTGCAAGCACGCCAGAGCTAGAGTTTTTGACCGATCAATTTCTTCTCTTCAGGGTTTAGTTAGGGTACCAGTATGTGCAATTTGTATATCTCAGAATTTTGATATCGGTGACCTAAGGTCAGGTCAATTTCGCGACCTCCCCATTATAAGTCAATGGGGGAAAAATCAACTCCCTGTTTTTACCACTAAAACGGGTCGGAATGGCCCCATATACCATACATGACTTCATATACGATCAACCTTCACTACCTTGAGGTCTGTTTTGCTGTTGGGCAGCTGTGAGGTCATGTGACGTCATCAAAGGTCACCAAAGGTTTTTGGCCAATAACTCCGTACAGGAACAAGATACAGACGCGTGGATGGTCTCATTGTGTTCAGCTCGTCAAGACGCATCGAATGATATACATGATGACCTCGAGGTCACGTGACCTGAGGTCAACCTTTGACCTTGACCTTTCGAGGTCAACATATATATCATTCGATGCGGATTGACGAGAGGATCACGATGATGCCCTTAGTTTGTTCCTATCTTGACTAATTCGAAAGTTATTCGAGAAAAACTCTCTCCATATCTAGTGCCGCCATTTTGACTTTTTCGACCCCTGTGACGTCATCTTTGACCTGACCTGAAAATGACCTTAGTAAAAATTGTAGATCTTGGCCGTGCGTATCCGATGCCGTTTACCGCTTGTCGCTATCTTGCTTCGTTCTCGAGATCTCAGGGGGGGGGCCGAATCGGCCCCCCCCGCCAGTTTCTTGTCCCGGCGGAGCCCGCCAGGAATAGGGTTAACGGAAATTTCTGAGTATGAGCGGCCGGCCGGCCGGCCGGCCGGCCGGCCGTGGTCACGCTTTTGCGAGGCTTATATCTCAGCAACCACTTGACCGATTTACACGCGGTAATTTTTGTAGGGTAGCTTCATTCCTTCTACCAAGTATTGGACTATTCCCGATGCATGTGGGTGACCCGTTATGCACGTGCCACGTGCAAAACGAAGAGGTGTCAGTTTTGTAATTGTTGCAATATCTCGGTAACTACTTGGCCGATTGCGCTGAGAGTTGGCATGTAGGTAGGCACCCACTAGGCACTGCATATACATGTGCCAGAGTTGGGGTGCTGCTGCACGTGCGCACGTGCAGGGGTCGTTTCCAGATCTCGGGAACGGCTGGACCGATTGCGCTCAAATTTGGTACACGGTTAGGGACCGGTTAGTAGGGTGCCGTGCACAAGTCAGTTGGGACCCATTTTGCACGTGCGCACGTGCAGGGTGCCGCTTCCAGATCTCGAGAACGGCTGGGCCGATTGTGCCCAAATTTGGCACATTGCTAGAGACCAGTTAGTAGGGTGCCGTGCACAAGTCAGTTGGAGGTACCCCCTCGCAATTTCGCACGTGTAAGGCCCACCCTCTCGCTCGCTCCGTTAGTCGCCCCAAAAGGCGTTATACTGGTCTAATATTGAAAACGAACGTTACTCTGGCTTCTCATATGACATGATGATGTTCTTGGTTTGATATGAATCCAAATTCCAACTCAGAGCCAGACACACGGATGGAACACAGTGATCTTGAGTCGGCTTGGTTTATTTTCTTGGTCAGGGAATATGTACATTTTTTAGTTCTTGATATTCGGTCTTGGTTTTTCCACTTCTTTCAAGCATGTAAAATTGTTAAAGAAGCTTAAATATGGAAATTAAACGGCATATGCTAAAATAAATATCACACTTGGGCCCAAGGCCGTATATTAGAAGGTAAACTCGTCAGGCGGTTTGTTTACATTTGCTCAGCTGACGAAATGACGTCAAAGGTCGTCCACCCTCACGGATCAGGCAGCCGCATGCAGTACAATACGCGGACGTTTTTTGGGAATTGAGACGACTTTAGCGATATTGAACGATTAAATTACGTTATACCAGCTTCTACAAACCTGCAAACCGGTTTATGCTAATGTGGTGCCATAAAAACCAGTGTGGAAGGAGTTTATATTGATGCATTATCGGCTGGAAAAACACCATAACTTCGACCGTAGCCGACTGAGCCAACATTGACCTATGCTTGGTTATGGGTCAGCATTGTTGCCAGAATGTCATAATTTACGCGGATTTGAACAACAACTATAGCATTAGACGTACGATTACGAGGTTTTGCTCACAACAGTTAGGTATACCGAGCAGAGCATATACCCGGCCGGGGCACCAGCGCCGAAACTGAAGCGTGAACGGTGGCCTGCGACAGGAACGCATATGGCTGCCAGTGATACGGTATGTGGTGGCGCATCGGATGCAGCCCTGCCACTTTCGGTCCAGAACTGGCTGCCATTCGTTGGTCCCAGTCCAGCTGCCTCAATCGGTCCCGGTTTAGACGCCTTTGCCGGCCCCGGTTCAGACGTCTCAGTCTTTCCCGGTCCGGAAGTCTCAACTCAAACTTTATTGAACAATCTTATCGACATTATCTTGGTAGAAAACACAAAACAGTAAGACAGAACAAACGAGCAAACTCAAGCAGCACTTCAAAATGACGATAGGTACACACAAACATCAGCGTGTTTCAGCAGCATCCACGCGTCGCTCCGCGCTGTCTCACAGCACCCCACGGGGTCAAACCACTACGTGGGTTCGTAACACGCTGGCCACAAAACATGGGTTACCAGCGACCAACACAAAACTCTGAGAGCAGGGGTCCATCCAACCTAATTTACAAACACAGCAGGGGCTGCTGTGTTTTGGCCAGTCAATGGCCATTAGCGCCAACCCCGCCGGCGGCAGCAGGAGCGACAGGCAGGGACAGCGCATGCAACTCGATCGCAAAACCATTCTTCTGGCATTGCTCTGCGTCTATAAAGGAGAATATCCCGCCCTCATCTACCCTTCAGGACCTGGCCGGGGACACTAACGAGACGCGGACATTACCCACTCAGCTGAGCAGTGAGCACCCTTTCGACCGGTCCGGGGCCCAGCTCTCGCCACATGACCGAGGGCTACTGTTAGGGTGCTGTCCTGTCCTGCTGTTCTTTTGCTGTCCTCCATCAGTCGGCTCCGAACCACCAGCCTCGCTGCCGCGCCGGGGTCCGGAGAAGAAGCTGCGCTGAGACGATCTGGAACCATCAGCCGGGCTGTGAGTCCCCACCGCCATGCGGTTGCTGGGACCGGGGCGGTGCAACCACACTCGCGTCCTGACTGCGCTTATGTGCTTCTCTCCTCGGAGCAGAGTCCGGCAGCGCAACCTGACTGACCTGAGCACGCCCCGCGCGAGAAGGCGTCTGGCGTGGCGCGCCGGCCTCGACCATCTGTCACACCGCCTCGGGATTCATGATCCAGATCCGATCGAATCGTCAGATTAAAATGTCTCTTGTATGGTAAACACAGATAAAAATCCCTCCTTCTTGAGTCGCAGAAGGCCAGGGAGGCTTGACAGTCTACGGAGGTCGACGACTGAGAAACGCTCCAGCAGCCGCAGTTGGTCAGCTGCTCAGCAACACTCTCCGCCAGCGAGACTGAAAACAAAAACCTTCCATGAAATGCAAATTAAGGATGACTGAAGGATGCATAATACCCAGTAAAACGAATAACTATTCAGTAAACAAAAAATGTCACTTCCTTGCTTGGAAAATTGTATTTTAGTCACTAAATGCCATGGCAAAGGAGCTGCCTAAATCGATGAATGTCAGCAACTCGCCAAACAACCTGTGTAAAACAGTTTGTTATTGTATGTGACTCGGTAGACACAACCTTTTGACCTTAGCCTGCACTAAATATGATAGCAAATTAGCCATGCTCCATTATCATTTTCCCCTTTGAATTAGGTAATTGTTTTTGGGAGCTGCCACAACTGCACAGATAGGCACATTAACATTGCTCACACACACAGATTCACTTACTTGTGAGTTGCTGGGAGGTGATGTGTCGTGCCTTGGTCACCAGTCACAGAATAACTGAAGCCTCCTGGAAAAGCGCTGTAGCTGTTGGCGACTGGCGTCACCACAGCTGGTCGGTGGGACACTGTAAACAAGATGTGACTTTAAACGCTGCTCCAGGTACTTTGGTCATGATCTATCATAACATAGTTAACATTTCTTCTAATCAAACTAGGGCCTAGGGGAGTTGGAGTGATACTCCTCCATCATACCAATGCGCTAACAAGTATTGAAGAAAACACATGAGCCCTAAAACCAATAAAAAACGAACACAAAACATACCTACTCATTCATAATTATTAATTACCTATTCTTTTTTAATTTCAAAGGAATCCTGTTCACCTAAAAATATTCAGCAAACCACTCACCAATTGCCTGACACCATAGTGCACACAGAAGTTTGAGGCCTGTGTAGGCTGTGCAATATTATATGTGTAGATCAAGATGAAGTACAGTGAGACGTGAGTCAGTAGGTTTTAAGTTGTAGGTTGGTAGATTGTAGGCTTGAAATTGTAGGTTTTCGGTGAATAGGTTGTAAGTTTGTAGATTGTAGGTTGGCAGGTTGAAAGTTTTTGGTTAGTACCTAGGTAAGGTTAGGTCAGGTTAGATTTTTTATCTTCACTGTACTTTATCTTCACATTTACCGGCTGTGCAGACTGCAGGCCTGTTGGACCGGATCTTTGTAATGCAAAGCACTCGCTCATTCTAAAAGTACTGGTTGTCAAAGACAGAAGAGAAGCGGATGGCTCCCCTGTGGATGTCCAGATACTTACCTATCAATTATGGCAGCTTACATGAGTTACAGAAGCAATTGCAGCTTCCTTTGTCCGTCTAGGCTTTAGACAATTGACCACACTTAAAACAAACAAACATGCAATTTTGTTTGGTATTGGAATACATACCAATATTTCTACATTTACAAAAGTATATGATAATTCTTATTAACAAGTACTTGCTGGTAATAATCAGAAAAAAAAACTCAGAAATGCCAGACAGAAAAGTATTAAAAACAACTAACAATTGATATCAATTAAAATACACTAATTTGCAAGCAGAAGATTGTAACACGCGCGCAATAAATGTAAAAAATAGCTAAATTTCTGCTTCAATTCCTTAAACCACTGTCATAAATCGTAATTCCCAACTAATTCACTGCTACGCTAGAACTCAAAGACTACAAGTTTTTAGGTATTGTAACCTTTACAACATGTAGAAAATGTCTTATTAAACCATTTGAGACCAAAAATGTTCCACTTTATTCCGTTTTAGTTGAGAAAACAGCAAAGAAAGTGGACGACCTTTGACGTCATTTACCTTCTGATTGGCCCAAAAAGCCTTCCCTATGGCGCAACATAGAAACGATGACCCCCTGCTTGGGCCAGAATGTTTCATTCCGGACCTCGGGCTTTGTTGAATTTTCCGCCCTCGACCTTCGGTCTCGTGCGGAAAACTCAACAAATCCCTCGGTCCTGAATGAAACATTTTACCGGCCCCGTGTGATATTATATATTAGCATATGCCGGAGTATGTCTTAAGCATTAGCGCGAGCGTGCGGTAAAAGCTTTTTAGATTACACCGCATAATGTTGAAGGCTATTGAGCAAAGGTTTCGGCCCATGGACAAAACATTTTATCAGCGAACTTTTGAAGCATTTCCTTAGACGGAGGAAGGCGCTGGAAAAGAGCTTAACTGATAAAAATCTAACGTGAACTTACGTGTTGTATTTGGTCGCTTTGAACTATTGAAGATTGTAAATGTTGGTTTTCAATAAGATAATATTTGAAATCCTAATGTAGGTACAGACATATTAATTAATCACCTACATTTATGGCGTCAATTTCATGCCTTTTACAACTGCAATGAATTGACAAAAAAAAAACGCATTTCACATTGATCAGTAAAAACTTTATTCATACTGACATGGGTAAAAAACCAAGCGCTCACTTCACAGGATGGTATATCTTCAACTCTTCTCTCTTCTCTTCTCGAATGAACTAAAATTTGACATTCAAATGTCATTTGGGAAATTTGAGCTCAGGTCCAGGTCATGACCTGACTGGTAATATATAATATCACACGGGGCCGGTAAAATGTTTCATTCAGGACCGAGGGATTTGTTGAGTTTTCCGCACGAGACCGAAGGTCGAGGGCGGAAAATTCAACAAAGCCAGAGGTCCTGAATGAAACATTCTGGCCCAAGTGTGATATTTATTTTAGCATATGCCGTTTAATTTCCATATTTAAGCTTCTTTAACAATTTTACATGCTTGAAAGAAGTGGAAAAACCAAGACCGAATATCAAGAACTAAAAAATGTACATATTCCCTGACCAAGAAAATAAACCAAGCCGACTCAAGATCACTGTGTTCCATCCGTGTGTCTGGCTCTGAGTTGGATCAAACCAAGAACATCATCATGTCATATGAGAAGCCAGAGTAACGTTCGTTTTCAATATTAGAGAAGAGTGGAAGGTGAAGTGAAGTGAGCGCTTGGTTTTTTACCCATGTCAGTATGAATAAAGTTTTACTGATCAATGTGAAATGCGTTTTTTTGTCAATTCATTGCAGTTGTAAAAGGCATGAAATTGACGCCATAAATGTAGGTGATTAATTAATATGTCTGTACCTACATTAGGATTTCAAATATTATCTTATTGAAAACCAACATTTACAATCTTCAATAGTTCAAAGCGACCAAATGCAACACGTAAGTTCACGTTATATTTTATCAGTTAAGCTCTTTTCCAGCGCCTTCCTCCGTCTCAGGAAATGCTTCAAAAGTTCGCTGATAAAATGTTTCGCCCATGGGCCGAAACCTTTGCTCAATAGCATTCAACATTATGCGGTTTAATCTAAAAAGCTTTTACCGCACGCTCGCGCTAATGCTAAAGACATACTCCGGCATATGCTAAAGGTCATGTTGCATATCAGTCGATTTGTATTGTCAAACTGAAATCATCTAAGGTGTTTTCATCGCTCAGGCATGTCGCATGTCTCTATCAGAAGTTATTGAAAAAAACTGCAATTTTCCGATTAAGTGTGTCATTTTTAACCCGCGCCCTGATGGGGGGGCCATTTTGGCCCCCCCCTGTGGTTTTTCTTTAATAGCGAGAAGACGGCGGCGCGCAGCGCCGCCAAATTTTGGGTACCTTACCGGGCATCAATTTGACACCTTCACACAAAATTTCAAGTCACAGGTCACCTCAGGTCAGGAGTTATTGAGGTCAAACTGAGGTCATGTTCGAGTAAAAATGAGCAAAAAACATGACATCTTTAAACGCTCACAAATTCTACAGTTAACAAGCAATTTTAAAGTTCTTTATGTGGTTGTGTAGAGAAAAGACGGCGCTACAAAACTGCTATCTCGGATTTTCGAAATTTTGGGATTTTGACCCCCAAAAATCAAAAAAATTGATTTTTTTAGAAAAACTCAAAAAATTTCCAATTTTTTTTTTCGAATTTCGACAAAAACCGGAATATATGTGATAGTCCCTGCGCTCTTTGATATACATACCAAATTTTAGATCGATACCTCTTTTTTTGGCCAAGTTATAGCGAAAAAAACTGTTAAAAATTGATGACGTCAAATTTTTTAACTCAATTTTTTGCAATTCTAGACCTCGTAGCGCAAAACGGAGACCACCATTGAACTCCCCGTGACGAGCTGCATCGAATCGATACCCATTTTATGCAAAAATATCAACTTTGAAATTTGACCTAATTTGACCTGACCTTGACCTGACCTTGACCTGACCTTGACCAAAACGTGACCTAAGCTGGCCCTTAAGTCTGTCTGATCCACATAATCGCATTTGCCATGTAAAATGGACCGTAAAACATGTATCACACGACACTTTCATATTGTGACCCCCCAGTGACCTGACCTCTGTGACCTGACGTGGTATCAGTGACCTCAAATAGCAAAATATGTGTTTGAAGAACATTTCCCCATCGATGATTTTCAATGAAATGCATTTTACTCGATTTTACAACGCATTTCTTGAAATGCCTGTAAACGGTGAAAATTCGACCTTTGACCTGACCTGTGACGTCATCGGTTTGACCGAGGTCAATGAAATTGGGTCACAAGGTAGTTCCCCGTTGGGGCTATCCAACACCGTTTACCGCTTGTCGCTATGTTGCGTGGTTCTCGAGATCTGAGGGGGGGGGGCAAAATCCCCCCCTCCATCAGACCGCGTTGCTCGGCAGACCCCATCTGGGCGCGGGTTAATTGGTTTATGATGTTTAAATTCGTTAACTTTGACATTTGTCTACCTATAAAAAGAGGCATGCATGCCCTGATTTTCTCCCATTTCCTTATCCCGCGCCCTGGTGTGGGTCTGAGCCACCTTCGCCCTGGTGGGGGGGGGCCAAAATGACCCCCCCCGTCTAACTCGAAAACGAAGAGGGCTAGGAAGACGCGGAAAAAAGCAAACGAAAGCCCATAACAAGTACGTTCGAAAGTATTTCAGTCATTTTTTCGCTAAGGTCAATATTGAGGTCGCTAGAGGTCATCATAGGTCAAATTTCAGTGTTTTCGGTGTTGCCGGACATATTCCGCTGTAGCTCGGAAACTAGAAGAGCTAGAGAGCCGCGGAAAAAAGCAATCGATAGCTCTTTTCAAGCTCTTTCGCCAAGGTTCGTCAGATTTGACCTCAGCTCAACGGTTTGGCCCACAGAGGTCATGCAAGGTCAACTTGGCAAATTTCGTTGAAAATGTTTTTAACTATAGCATGCATTCACGAGAAAATAGAGAAACGATTCATGCACCATCGTGCTTGGCTCGTCGAGACGCGTCGAATGATATATAGTTTGACCTCGAAAGGTCATTTTGAAAATTTGACCTCAGGTCAAGGTCATGACCTTACCGAAATAGGTCATGCTGCATATCATTCGATCCGCATTGACGAGACAAACACGATAAACGTCGAACGGAGTCTCTATCTCTATTCAATAACAAGTAAGTGCAGAAAAACCGCTGGTGACCTCTGGTGACCAGGGAGATGACCTAGCGTGACCTCAGCGAGGTCACAAGCAAATGGTTTCACATGGGCTGTGATTTGCTGACCCAAGACACTTCAATAACGAAATATAGGAACAATCACGCCCGATTTAGCTGAAAAACAACTACTTTTCGATTCTCCCATTGACTTATAATGGGGAGCAGCGATGACCTGACCTGACCTTAGGTCACATTTATAAAAAATCCGAGATAGCCATTTTGTAGAGCTGGGTGACATCTTCAAGTACTGTAAATTTTACATCGATCGGATAAAAGCTGTGCCTTTGAGAGAGCTTTGAACTTTTTTAGAGGTGGTGTCAGTTTTGGTGACCTTGTGACCTGACCTGACCTGACCCGAACCCCCCAAAAAAGGACATGATGTAAAAATGTTGAATAAACAGCTATACAAAGTTTCAGGGCGCTAACTCAAGTGGTTTCTGAGTTATCGCTGAAAAACCACAGGGGGGGGGGGCCAAAATGGCCCCCCCCCCCCCCCCCACCAGGGCGAAGGTTATACCTAGTGGAAGGTTCGCAAAATTGTCCCTACCTTTGGTCAAAGACATAGCAATTTCGAGGCTTACATTTTATATATACAGTTACACACTGTTTGTCTTATCAATCGCTGAAGTTATATAGGAATCGTTCAGTCGGTGTATCTATGGTGAGCATTTGCCTGTTCCGTAGCTCAGTTGGTAGAGCACCGGACTCCCCGCATTGTCTTCACTTGCGTTTTGTTCGCCGGCCGAGCCGGAGTGAAAGTTACCGAGTGAAGGTCATTCAAATTTCAAAAACTCAATGAAAATGTCACTGGAGTCACGAAAATATTTGAGTAGGTAGGTATACCATTCATTAAGTTGGGGGGGGGGGATGAACGTATCGTTAAATACGCTGTTCATTACGCGAGTAACTAATGAATAAAAAATGTACGAGTTCATCCTTACTCCACCCGCTCTCCCTCTTCATAAAAAGAGAGTTAATTGTGTTGCATTTTATCTATATGCAGAAAAATAGAGGCGTCAAAGGATATGGCCGAATATCAGCGACCCTTGCTGTGTAAGCAATGGGGCTTGCAATGGGGTATGACAAGTGGGGGCAATGGCCCCGTCCAGCGCCAATAAAGTGGGCACCACTCGTGCGACCTGCCGACCACTGTAGAGCCATAAAACACCGTGAATGTTTTAACACGCGCAGTGGAAGGGGGGGGGGGGGCGGATTTCGCCCACCCCTCCTGTTTTTCGCCAATAACTCGCGCCGCAAGCATAATATCAATGTGAAATTTCGGCTACCTGTCCAGAATTTAATTGCGGATCTTCTCGTGCAAGAAGTAAGAAAATCGGTTCACAACTTTTCTAGTAATAGCGGTGTAAAGTCAAACATCCTGCCGCCGCGGCGGCGCGGCGGCGCGGCGGCCGGCGCTAGCCGTTACGCGCCGCCTGAATTGTAGACTGTGCCGGGGCGGGACGGTTCCGTCTTTACATCGCGCTCCTTACCGCTGATTATATTAGCTTCGCGTCAAATTCGGTGAGAAGACTGAGAAATGTACAGGCAATCATATGGTCAAAGAATTTTGAAAATCGGCCGGTAGCAACTTGAGTTATGAGTGTGTAAACACAAAATTGTGATTGCCGCGTTTCCCGCGTCGGCCGATGCCGCCTCAGCCGGCGACATCTTACCCTTCGCAGGCTTCTAACTGCCATATTTATAGTTGGATTATCTAGAAATTCACCATACATACTCACAAATGTTTGCTCTTTCGTATAGTGAAAGATTAAAAAAAATCGGCCGGTAACTTTTTGAGTTTTTGGCGTGTACCTAAACGCAAAAAAGTCGCTAATATGGCAGATTTGACCACATTTGACCTCATTTGACCTTGAAGATATTGACCTAGGGTCATGAAATTCACACACAACAGAGTTCCCCATGGCCCCCACCTACCCTCCAAATTTCGTCTTTCTAGCTCCAGTGGGAGCTGAGATCTTAGGGGGGGGGCGACATCCGCCCCCCCTTCCACTGGGCGTAGTACTCGCAACCCTTCCACTGCGCGTGTTAAGCTTGACGATACGGATCGACTGGTATAGGTTTACAACATGTTTTATTTCTGGTGAGGTCATGAACTTGACCTCAGGTAAAATTTTTAATTTAATTTTTGTAAAGTCAAATTATAGTTCATTTGTCGCATTATGACGAGAGAAATACTATATCCCGGAAAAATAAACGTAATACCGCTGAGCTTAGGTAGGTTGAATCTGAAATCATTACTTAGGAAGAGTTATAAAAGAACCGTCGAACGTGTCTTTTTTTGGTCATTAAATATTAGGTATGCCGCCCCCCTCAGATGTAAAGTGCCGCCCCTATGAGTGCAAAATGCCGCCCCTAATTGTGATTGCCGACCCAGTGAAAATCCCTTAAAATACGCCCTGCGCGGTGCTGTAGCTCTAATTGGTTCCCGAGTTATGCGTCGGCATCTTGTAAACTGTCGATATTCGACCTGAAAATCGGCGAAATTTGGCCTTCACCATGACCTGACCTTTGACCTGACCAAAAAAGTGCCCGAAGTAATTTCGTCATTATTTTTGACGCTCTTTCGAATGAAGATGGGTTATGGAGTGCAAAAAGATATCCAATGCACGCCTATGTTTTTGGATAGACATTGAGGGTGCAGCTGCACGCCGTGCACTCCCTCTTCCGCCGCCCCTGATTTCTTGCCATAAACGTCTTCAACCGCTCCCGAATGAAAGAATGTGCGTTAATATTGATGTATTCTCATTTTGTGGAGGTTGGGCAAAGCCTGACCACTACTGGGGCATTCCTCGAGTCTCGACTCTACTGGGGCATTTGCCCCAGTAGTTAACATGTTAGCCGAGGCCCTGGCAGAATGGCGAGACTGACTGGCCGCGGCCCTGGCGGGGCGGTTATACAGAGTGGTTCCATGACAACTGAACCAGTTACAGAGTATAGGTGGCGCCACGATCGAAGGCGGCCAGCACGGGAGGGAATGCAGGCATGGTTACAGTTAGTAGGCAGTTGTTCCAATGAGGAATTTGCGCTGTAATCATTGATTACAGCGCAACCACTGGTAGTTGCATATATAAAGTAGTTTCATAGACTACTGTATCACGCATATACTTATCGCATATACTTTATATATTCATATTTACATTCTACATATGACTGCAACTGCTGTTGCTAGGAATTGTTGTGCTGCCGCTCGGCTGTATCAGTGCTGGCTGTGTCAGTGTCTGACACTCTGGTGTCAGTGGTGCAGCGGGGAGCTGGCGGCAGCTCTGTCCGACTGCAGTCAACTGACACAGCTCTGTCCGACAGGGCCGGAGGTGGCGGAGCCGAGGTGGCCGGGACGGTACCCATGGAGTGATCTGTCAGTGTCGCTCCAGGGGGTGACTGCCGACACCATCAGTCACCTGGCTGACCTGGGACGGACGGTCGAACTACTAGAGATATACGGTGAGCAGCGGCAGCACGGACAGGCCGCTGATACACCAGCTCAGCGAATGGCGGACACCGAGTAACGGTGTGCCGTTGTCGCACCTCATGGAGACAGGTGTGATACATAGCCAATGTGCTTTGCGATAAAATGAAGCTAAATGAGCTCCAAACAAAATAGAGGAGGACTGTTCACTCAGTGACATATTCGTTCAGAGTTAGTTGATCATACTCATAACAACTGTGTTGCACTGTTCAATGAAGTTCAATGCATTTGCTTAACATTGCATATCATATAATAGCACTGTTTAGTGTTTTACCATTGTCTACTGTGTCCATGAAACCATGTGAATTATTAGGTGTTGTTTCGTTTTGTCATATATCGACATGTATTACAGCCAACTGATCCTGTCTGTATGTGTGTCTGCGTGTTTTCCAGATTGTACTGATCACACGACCGGCAGCCTGGAGCCCCTCACCAGGTGCCGTGGGCTGCAGGAGCTATCAGTCACCGCCGCCGACCTCCCGCGACTGATTGGGCAGCTGCCGGAGGGCCTCTGTCGCCTCAATGTCAGAGGTGAGATACCGCAGATCACACATGTAATGCCGGTATATGCAAATGAACAGGGGAGACGGCAAATGGACGAACTGATCAGCCTCAACTAGCAAGTTTCATCGTTAATCGTGTATATTACTCGTCTCGTATTGTGGTGAGAGGGGGAAGGGGTTCAATGCATGCCCTTCGATAGTGTCCATGCTTGTGGCATATGCGTGGAATATTAGTGTAACGTCACGGGGTGATTTAAAAGTTGAGGTACTAGCGATAGTTGCATTGTTACAAGCAGCAAATTTCCGAACAAACGTATTGAGTATTAGTGCGAATTCGGCATCCGGAAAATCAGGGATAATTTTCCTGGATCAACGGGATCATTCGGTGTTTTAGGCTGACACCGTGCACAACGCACATGCCAATGAGTAAAAGAGCCATTACTGAAGCAAAAGCAATATAAAAATATGACTTATTGCATCGATAGTCCTTGCAATACCAAATTATTACCGGTGATCCCGGATAATTATCCCTCATTTTCCGGATGTCGAACGCACGCCTGATCGACAACTGACACTGACTGACTACATAGAGAGCGTACTGACGACGAGTCTGAGCAGACTAAAGAGACTGACTGGCCGCGGCCCTGGCGGGGCGGTTATACAGAGTATACATAGGTGACGCCACGATCGAAGGCGGCCAACAAGGAATGCATGGGCATTGCTACAATTAGTGAGCACGTATTCCAATGAGGAATGATTATAGACATAGTACAACCAATGAGAGTAGTATAAGTAGTTTTATAGACTATTGTATTACGCATATACTTATTCCATATACATCTTATGTTCATATTCACATTATACATACATTTGACTGCTGGTGCTAAAAATTGCTGTGCGGCCGCTCGGCTGTGTCAGTGCTGGCTGTGTCAGTGTCTGACACTCCGGTGTCAGTGTTGCAGCGGGGAGCTGGCGGCAGCTCTGACCGACTGCAGTCAGCTGACACAGCTCTGTCCGACAGGGCCGAAGGTGACGGAGCCGAGGTGGCCGAGATGGTACTTTGGTGATGGTGGTCTGTCAGTGTCGCTCCAGGGGGTGACTGCCGACACCATCAGTCACCTGGCTGACCTGGGACGGATGGTCAACCGACTGGAGATATACGGTGAGCAGCGGCAGCACGGACAGGCCGCTGATGTACGAGATCAGCGAATGGCGGCCACCGAGTAACGGTGTGCCATTGTCGGACCTTATGGAGACAGAAGTGATACATAGCCAATGTGCTTTGCGATATAATGAAGCCAATTGAGCTCCAAAATGGAGGACTGTTCACTCAGTGACATATTCGTTCAGAGTTAGTTGATCATACTCATAACAATCGTGTTGCACTGTTCAATGAAGTTCAATGCATTTGCTGAACTGATTGCATATATCATATAATAGCACTGTTTTACCATTGTCTACTGTGTCCATGAAACCATGTGAATTATTAGGTGTTGTTTCGTTTTGTCATATATCGACATGTATTACAGCCAACTGATCCTGTCTGTATGTGTGTCTGTGTGTTTTCCAGATTTTACTGATCACACGGCCGGCAGCCTGGAGCCCCTCACCAGGTGCCGTGGGCTGCAGGACCTATCAGTCACCGCCGCCGACCTCCCGCGACTGAGGGGGCAGCTGCCGGAGGGTCTCAGTCGCCTCAATGTCAGAGGTGAGGTACCGCAGATCACACATGTAATGCCGGTATATGCAAATGAACAGGGGATACGGCAAATGGACGAACTGATCAGCCTCAACTAGCAAGTTTCATCGTTAATCGTGTATATTACTCGTCTCGTAATGTGGTGAGAGGGTGGAAGGGGTTCAATGCACACCCTTCGATAGTGTCCATGCTTGTGGCATATGCCTGGAATATTAGCCCGGCACCGCCTGGGCTATTTCCGTACCCACATCAGCCTGGGGGGGGTCGGATCCGACCCCCCCCCCTGTTATCTCGAGAACCAATGGTCGTATCGAGCCCCGCGAGGCGGCGTTCGAAAGGTCTCTACGAGACCTTCCCAAAGCACTCTTAAGATTTTAAGATTGAGGTCAACTTTCGGGTCAAGGTCAGGTCAAAGGTCAAATTCAGGGGTTTTGCATGATTAGGCTTACGGACAGCGGAATCGATAGCTGCTGCTCGAAACTCACCACAAATGACCTCAAAGACCTAGTGAAGGTACCATGTGCGTATAGGGGTCATACTAAGTACGGGTCAAGGTCAGGTCAGGTCACGAAAGGTCACGGTTTTCACTTTCTGCTACATGGGCGTGCGACACATGTTTTATGGCTTATTTTTTCACGCCAAATCCGATGGTAATGGTTATATGTGACCCCAAGTCACTGTGCTGGTGATAAGTGTGCATTGAAAGCATAAAAAATCGTTTATACTAAACGAGGGCTGAGAAAAAAGGTCAATTTTTCAACTTTTTATTTTTGACATAAAAATGCACTTTTCTAGACGAGCTTTGTCCCAGGAATCTAGTGAAGCCATTTGTTTTCACATGCGATGTTCAGAAGTGCCTCTAATTCGCGAAAATGCTTATGACGTCACCATGCCCTATGCATGTTGGAGCTATTTTTTTACAATTTGGGGGTCAAAAATCAAGATAGAAAGTTGAAATTTGGGACATCTAATGTTCTAATAGAGCTCTATAACATATATTCCGGTTTTTTGGAAATTCTCAAAATTTTGGATTTTATTAGCTGTTTTCCAAAAAATATAGTTTTTTGAATTTTTAGGGGTAAAAAACGCATTTTATGGAAAATCCGAGATAGCCATTTTAAAGAACTCGTAGAGCTGCGTCTTTTCATGTCCTTAATTTGCAATTTGCTTAAAACCTCGATTTCTGGCGATTTTTTAAACATTTACCATTTTTTGACTGAAAACGCCATGTAGTTACATCACTAAAATCGATATATCTCAGAAATTTTTGAAAATTTTTTCTTAAAAATTGCACAAGAGACGTCAAATTGATGGGGGAGAAGGTATGCGAAGTTTCAAGTTGATAGCGCAAGCGGTTCATGAGTTATTCAAGAAAAACGGAGGGGGGGGGTCGGATCCGACCCCCCCCCCAGGCGGTCGCGGGTTAGTGTAACGTCACGGGGTGATTTAAAAGTTGAGGTACTAGCGATAGTTGCATTGTCACAAGCAGCAAATTTCCGAACAAAAGTAATTAGTCTGGGTTGACGACTGACACTGACAGACTACATAGACAGCGTACTGACGACGAGTCTGAGCAGACTGGCGAGACTGACTGGCGGCGGCCCTGGAGCGGCGGTTATACAGAGTATAGGTGGCGCCACGATCGAAGGCGGCCAGCACGGGAATGCAGGCATTGTTACAATAAGTGAGCAAGTATTTACAATGAGGGATGATTATAGACATAGTGCAACCAATGAGAGAAGTATAAGTAGTTGCATAGACTACGTTATTACGCATATACTTATCGCATATACATATTATGTTCATATTCACATTCTACATATGACTGCTGGTGCTAAAAATTGCTGTGCGGCCGCTCGGCTATGTCAGTGTAGGCTGTGTCAGTGTCTGACGCTCTGGTGTCAGTGGTGCAGCGGGGAGCTGGCGGCAGCTCTGTCCGACTGCAGTCAGCTGACACAGCTCTGTCCGACAGGGCCGGAGGTGACGGAGCCGAGGTGGCCGGAATGGTACGAGTATGATGGTCTGTCAGTGTCGCTACAGGGGGTGACTGCCGACACCATCAGTCACCTGGCTGACCTGGGACGGACGGTCACAGTACTGGAGATATACGGTGAGCAGCGGCAGCACGGACAGGCCGCTGATATACGGGCTCAGCGAATGGCGGCCACCGAGTAACGGTGTGCCATTGTCGGACCTTATGGAGACAGAAGTGATACATAGCCAATGTGCTTTGTGAAATAATGAAGCCAATTGAGCTCCAAAATGGAGGACTGTTCACTCAGTGACATATTCGTTCAGAGTTAGTTGATCATACTCATAACAATCGTGTTGCACTGTTCAATGAAGTTCAATGCATTTGCTGAACTGATTGCATATATCATATAATAGCACTGTTTTACCATTGTCTACTGTGTCCATAAAACCATGTGAATTAGGTATTAGGTGTTTTTTTTCGTTTTGCCATATATCTACATGTATTACAGCCAAATGATCCTGTCTGTATGTGTGTCTGTGTGTTTTCCAGATTGTACTGATCACACGGCCGGCAGCCTGGAGCCCCTCACCAGGTGCCCCGAGCTGCGATGCCTATCAGTCACCGCCGCCGACCTCCCGCGACTGAGGGGGCAGCTGCCGGAGGGCCTCATACTCCTCAATGTCAGAGGTGATATAACGCAGATTACACATGTAATGCCGGTATATGCAAATGGTCAGCGAAGACGGCAAATGGACGAACCAATCAGCCTCAACTAGCAAGTTTCATCGTTAATCGTGTATATTACTCGTATTGTGGTGAGAGGGGGAAGGGGTTCAATGCATGCCCTTCGATAGTGTTCATGCTTGTGGCATATGCGTGGAATATTAGTGTAACGTCACGGGGTGATTTAAAAGTTGAGGAACTAGGAATAGTTGTATTGTCACAAGCAGCAAATTTCCGAACAAACGTATTGAGCATTAACCCGCGCCCTGGTGGGGTCTGTTTATAACGCGACCTGGTGGGGGGGGGGCTATTTTTTGCCCCCCTCGTATCTCCGAAACTACTGGACGGATCCGCAAAATTCAAACGGCGTTCGAAAGGCCTGTCAAATTTGTCGAAGGAAACCAAATTTCATTGACCTCGGGGTCACCGATGACGTCACAGGTCAGGTCAAAGATGAAATGTTTCACCGTTCACGGGTCCTCTAGGGAATGCGCTATAACACCGAGGAAAACGCATTTTGTCGAGAATCAGCGATAGGGCGTCAGTTGCCTAGTAGATATGTTGCTGTTAGAGGTCACTGACAATACCAGGTCAGGTCACAGGTCAGGTCTCCAAGGGTCACGGCCGTCACGGGTCAGGTCACATGAGCCCAACTTTACTAAGGTTGTGTGATGCATGTTTTATGCCCAATTTTTCATTTCCAACTCAATGGTGTTGGTTATAAGACAATCAGGTACGGCTTAGGTCACTTTCTGGTGAAGTGCAGGTCAAGGTCAGGTCAAGGTCAGGCCAAAAAAGGTCAAATTTTAAAGTTGATAGTTTTGCATAAAATTGGTATTGATTCGATGCAGCTCGTCACGGGGAGTCTAATGGTGGTCTTTGTTTTGCGCTACGGGGTCTAGAATTGCTAAAAATTGAGTTTGAAAATTTGACGTCATCAATTTTGAACAGTTTTTTTCGCTATAACTTAGCCAAAAAAGAGGTATCAATCTCAAATTTGGTATGTGGATGGAAGGCGGTAAGGACTATCACATATATTCCGGTTTTTGCGAAATTCAAAAAACTTTTCGGATTTTTCGATTATTATATCCAAAAAAAAATATTTTTTTGATTTTTTTTGGGTCAAAATCCAAAAATTTCAAAAATCCGAGATACCAGTTTTGTAGCCCTGTTCATTCTTCAGCTTTTATGTCTTTATCATTTTTCTGTATTTGCAAAGCTATAGGCCTGACAGCTCTTCCCGCAAAACCCTTTTTTGGGTCGAAAACGGCAGAACATGACGTCACTCTGACGTCATTTCCGGCCAACCTATCATAGCCTTTGGAATTTTTTTTGGTCACAATGTGTAAAATTGATGTCCGGGAGGGTACTGAAAGTTTGGTGACGATCGGCGCAGCGGTTCTGGAGATATATAGAAAAGTCTGGAGGGGGGGGGGCAAAAAATAGCCCCCCCCCCCACCAGGTCGCGGGTTAGCCCTCGCCGGCCGAGGGGGGGGGGGCGGGTTCCGCCCCCCTCCATAGGGTTTTTTCGCGATAACTCCGAACACGCTGGCGATAGAACGCTGAAACTTGGCATACCTGACCTTTGATCCAAGCCGGATCTTTTGACACCAACCGCATTTTTGGGTCATGTCAGGTCACTGACCTATGACGTTATAAGTGAACCTCTGCACGGTCTTCAGATGTCGCAACTTCGCAACGCCCTCACTGCCAGAGGAGATGTCACAGGGAAATGAAACTTGCAGGATCTAGTATCCATTATGAGTCTCACAACTTGTATATCTCGGATTTTTCCTATAGGTCATATGAGGTCAGGTCATTTTCGTGACCTCACCATTATAAGTCAATGGGGAAAAATTCAAACTGCTATTCTGGCGCCGGGAACGATCTCCAACTATCTCAAGCACACAGAATCGTGATTTGATGCACTCCTTGCAAGGTTAGATGCGTCACTTTTGCAATGTTGACCTTCCGTGACGTCATTTATGACGTCATCAAGGTCATATTAGTTTTTCGTCAATAACTCCCGATCAAATTGAGCTAGCGAGTCGGGAAAGCCACCAATGGACTCAGGAAGACCTGCCGAATCGAATGATATGCGACATGACCTCTTTCGACCAACTTCGTGACCTGGGGGTGCTGACCTGACCTTGACCTGAGGTCAAAACCCCAAGTTGACCTGACCCGAACAAAAAGTATATCATTCGACGCGCCTGAGCGAGGCAAACACGATGCTGCCAAAATCGCGGCTCTGCGACCGTTTTTTTTTTGCGAAGTTATTCACCAAAAACTGAACCGTACCTTGGGGCACTTGACCTGACCTCAGAGGTCACCGGTTGACCTAGAACCTTAAAATCGGGTACCAATCTCTGCGTCTCGTAACGGCGCACACGCTCGTTTTTTCCGCGACGCGCTAGCTCCACCAGGGGCGAAACGGCGAGTGGGGGTCGTACCCGCCCCCCCCCCCCTCCCCCTCGGCCGGCGCGTATGTTGAAAACCAATAGGTCCGGCGAGGGTTAAAGGTAGTGTGCCAGCTTTCCTGGACCGTATGGAGTTAATGGCCCAGATAAGGAGAACCGGATTTTTAGAACTTATCCATACCTTCAAAACTCATGGAAACGTCTTAAATTCTTCAAATTTTGAGTACCCCAGTGCGAAATTCGCCCCGACGGGTTGTCGGTCGTACCCCAACCACATTTCACACCACTATGAACAATAAATGCACACACTGAAATCGCTACTACCGATATGCTCATCCAATCAAGTTTCGATAAACCCGTTCATCATCAGCTCCTGCGGTTTCGAACACGCCTGTTAGGTGGTGCGGTAGACCACGCCCAAAGCCAGGGCCCCGGTAACGTGAGGTAGCCGAGACAGGGCAGCGTGCGCTGACCCAAGCCGGAGCCGCGCGTCCTCCCGGTGTCATGTGATAGCCCGGGGCTGCCCGCGGGGATGCGGTAGACCGCGCCCAAAGCTGCGGCCCCGGCTTGGATCAGCGCACGCTGCCCCGACTCGGCTACCTCACGTTACCGGGGCCCTGGCTTTGGGCGCGGCTTCTGCTCATACTTTGTGGTGCGGTGGTGGTGCGTCGGGCTGCGCGCTCTGACTTCGGCCAAGAAAAATGCGTCAGCTGATCATTGTCATTTCTGCCACTTGCGTGTGGTGAAATGGAATAACTGGAATGAAATGGAATGAAATGGAATAAATAACTTATAAGACGGCTTTTTCATATCAATTATTTTACATAAAATTATATTTCAAACCATAACCCTCGCCGGCCGAGGGGGGGGGGGCGGGTGCCGCCCCCCCCCATAGGGTTTTTTCGCGATAGCTCCGAACACGCTGGCGATAGAGAGCTGAAACTTGGCATACCTGACCTTTGATCCAAGCCGGATCTTTTGACACCAACCGCATTTTTGGGTCAGGTCAGGTCACTGACCTATGACGTCATAAGTGAACCTCTGCACGGTCTTCAGATGTCGCAACTTCGCAACGCCCTCACTGCCAGAGGAGATGTCACAGGGAAATGAAACTTGCAGGATCTAGTATCCATTATGAGTCCCACAACTTGTATATCTCGGATTTTTCCTAAAGGTCATATGAGGTCAGGTCATTTTCGTGACCTCACCATTATAAGTCAATGGGGAAAAATGAAAACTGCTATTCTGGCGCCGGGAACGATCTCCAACTATCTCAAGCACACAGAATCGTGATTTGATGCACTCCTTGCAAGGTTAGATGCGTCACTTTTGCAATGTTGACCTTGCGTGACGTCATTTATGACGTCATCAAGGTCATATTAGTTTTTCGTCAATAACTCTTGATCAAATTGAGCTAGCGAGTCGGGAAAGCCACCAATGGACTCAGGAAGACCTGCCGAATCGAATGATATGCGACATGACCTCTTTCGACCAACTTCGTGACCTGGGGGTGCTGACCTGACCTTGACCTGAGGTCAACACCCCAAGTTGACCTGACCCGGACAAAAAGTATATCATTCGACGCGCCTGAGCGAGACGATCACGATGCTGCCAAAATCGGCGCTCTGCGGCCGTTTTTTGCGAAGTTATTCACCAAAAACTGAACCGTACCTTGGGGCACTTGACCTGACCTCAGAGGTCACCGGTTGACCTAGGACCTTAAAATCGGGTACCAATCTCTGCGTCTCGTAACGGCGCACACGCTCGTTTTTTCCGCGACGCGCTAGCTCCACCAGGGGCGAAACGGCGGGGGGGGGGGTCGTACCCGCCCCCCCCCCCCCCCTCGGCCGGCGCGTATGTAGAAAACCAATAGGTCCGGCGAGGGATAAATAATGTTCGACAGCCAAATAAAAGAAACAATACCAATACGGGCTTACAGTTTAAGGCTCGACATTGTGTTGTCTACGATTAGACAGCTGATAACTCATTCCCGTACGTCGTATGGTCGTAACACTATAATGACCTTTGCTTATTGTCACAAGTGCGCCGCATTCGCGATTGTTGCCCGACGCCAGTTTGCAGGTGAGCCCACTACAGTTGTTATACATATCTAAAAACCGATAAACTTTTAGGCGAAAAAGGCACTATTCCAGGCCCATTTTTGATTTTTTTTTGCGATATTAGGTAAAAACAGAAGCTTCTTATCCTAGGAAAAATAAAATGGGAAATCTTTCAAAGGTGGCACACTACCTTTAATCGACGACTGGCACTGACTGACTATATAGATAGCTCGCTGACGACGAGTCTGAGCAGACTGACGAGACTGACTGGCCGTGGCCCTGCCGCGGCGGTTATACAGAGTATAGGTGGCGCCACGATCGAAGGCGGCCAGCAGGGAATGCATGGGCATTGTTACAATTAGTGAGCACTTGAGCAGTTATTTCCAGTGAGGGATGATTATAGACATAGTGCAACCAATAAGAGCAGTATAAGTAGTTTCATAGACTACTGTATTATGCATATACTTATCGCATATACATATTATGTTCATATTCACATTCTACATATGACTGCTGCTGCTAACAAATAGCTGTGCGGCCGCTCGGCTATGTCAGTGTAGGCTGTGTCAGTGTCTGACACTCTGGTGTCAGTGGTGCAGCGGGGAGCTGGCGGCAGCTCTGTCCGACTGCAGTCAGCTGACACAGCTCTGTCCGACAGGGCCGGAGGTGACGGAGCCGAGGTGGCCGGAACGGTACGGGGATCTGTCGGTGTCGCTCCAGGGGGTGGCTGCCGACACCATCAGTCACCTGGCTGACCTGGGACGGGCGGTCACACGACTGTATATATACGGTGAGCAGCGGCAGCACGGACAGGCCGCTGATATACGAGCTCAGCGAATGGCGGACATCGAGTAACGGTGTGCCGTTGTCGGACCTCATGGAGACAGGTGTGATACATAGCCAATGTGCTTTGTGAAATAATGAAGCTAACTGAGCTCCAAAATGGAGGACTGTTCACTCAGTGACATATTCCATGGTTAGTTGAACTACAGGGTGGAAAGTAATTACGCGAACATGTATTTTCTTACAATTTTGACCGTCAGTGGAGCATTTTTATGAGTACGGGCTGTCATGGAACATAATTGGTCGTGTTTGTTGTCGCCTCATCTACCAAAAGTGACCTAACTTTGAACAATGACCTGGGAGGTCTCAAACACCTCTCGACTTAAAATGGTGCAGACACCATACGCTGCACAAGACCGAAATGGGCAAAGAGCTCAATTTGGAGCTGCCAGGGAAAGCGTTTGTGATTATTTTCGCTGGACTGGCGGAGAAGGGATTCGTAGCGGTCTCAGCACCAGCATTGCACAATTATACGTTTTTTTTTAACATAATAACACTTGAGAGGACTTAAAAAGCAAAGCCGTCCGCGGCAGCAACCCCTCGGCGAATTCTGTCGCCGGGCGGGTGGTCACCATGTCGGCGACAAAACGACGCCAGTCGACCCGAAAACTGACAAAATAGCTTACTCTGGCCGGGTACCCGATCTAGGATATCACGATTCGCACATTAATACGCAAAAATTCGAAAATTAAGTAGTACAAACCCTCGGGATGACCAAAATTCACGAATTAACAGCATAATTGTTAATTGAAGCTTTTCAAAGACAATCAAAGATGGACAGAGGAGGACAGGCAGCTGGATTTGTGGTTGGGTGAGACATCTGTGAAACTGTTTCATCCGTCAAACCTGCAGAACAACTGCTCTGAGGGCTGCTGTTGCGTCCTATGTCCCGTCCGTCCCAACCTTCAAACATCCGGCAAAGGAACACATCAGTGGGTCACGAGCCCCCGGGTGGTGTCAGAATTGCGTGTAGCGCTAAAAAAGGTCACTAAAAATAAAGTATACAACCGGTGGAACATCCTCCAAGACGAGTGTCCCTGTCTAATCCACCGTGCAACGAAAGGGGCAAAATGACTGAGCGCACTTTTGTGCCTGACGCAAAGAAACTGCTCTTCGTGATTGGTGAAATCCTTACTTTCACGGCCAACAAAACGCAATACTGGTGCTGTGAGAGCCTGTTTTTCTTCAGGACATACAAAAGCTGATCTGGGAAACGCCTGGGCCTCAATTCGATTAAAAATCTCCAGATGACTCCTCAGGAGACCGTCTAAAAGCTGCAAGGAGCCACCAATACCGATTACCTCACTGGACAGCTCCATAAGGTGTGGGCTGAGCTTTGGCCAACAGATCTTCACATGCTGATGTAAATCATGCCGGAACGCCTATGTCAATGCATCGCAACTAGATAAGGATAAAGTAAAACATATATTGTTTATGTCACCGCCGTTTTTTTTCATTACTAGAAGACGAAAAAGTATGTTCGCGTAATTACTTTCCACCCTGTACATATTGCGATTGTAATGCAATGTTCAATGCACTTCAATGCATTGGCTGAACTGATTGCATATCCATAGATAACATGAACATTCATGTTATCATGTTCATTCATTCATGTTATCACATTCATTCATGTTTATATGGCATATCATATAGTACCACTGTTATATCATGGCTTACGGTGCCCATAAAACCATGCGAATTCATAACTATTTCGTTTTTTTATTTACATGTATTTCTACCGACTGATCCTGTCTGTATGTGTGTCTGTGTGTTTTCCAGACTGTCCTGATCTCACGGCCGGCAGCCTGGAGCTCCTCACCAGGTGCCCTGAGCTGTGGGTTATCACCCTGTCCGGCGGCGTCCCTGACACCGTGAGCCTGGAGCCCCTCACCAGGTGCCCTGAGCTGTCCAATCTCACCCTGTCCGGCGGCGTCCCTGACGCCGTGCTGGACAGTCTCAGCGGCTGCCCCGGGCTGGTGGTCCTTACACTGGGGGACCTCCAGCGGCCGGCAGAGACGGCCTTCACAGCAGCAGCGTACACCAGGTCAGTCAGCAGACACTGGCGAGGGGTGTCCTGTCAGACACTGACACTGACACTGACACACTGACACTGACACACTGACACACTGACACTGACACACTGACACTGACACTGACACACTGACACTGACACTGACGCACTGACACACTGGCACTGACACTGACACAGACACACTGACACTGACACTCTGACATTAACACACTGATACTGATACACTGACACTGACATTGACGCACTGATACTGACACAATGACACAATGACACACTGGCACTGACACATTGACACTGGCACTGACACACTGACACTGACACCAACACACCGACACTGAAATACTGACACTGACACTGACTCGTACGTCCGGCCGGCTGGTGCCGCTGTGTTTGTGTGTGACGGCTCTGCTGCTCTGCTCTGTTACAGACTGGTGAAGTCGTGTCGGGGGCTGTACAATCTGTACCTTCACTGCACGTCAGACACCACCCGGGCCGTGCTGACCGCCCTGAAGGAGGCGAACCTGCGCCGGGGCCCATTCGGTACCATCCATCTCCATGTGCCCGGTAGGTGAGAGGGCGCCGCGCGCCGCGCCTCTGACCAGTCAGTCCCTCACAACAGACGCTGCACGGCGCCACCGGCCTCTCAGACACACACACTCGACCACTGCCGCAGGCCACGTCACGGACGGTGACGTGACGCGTCACGGCCACCACGGCCGACGGTGACGTCACGTCAGCCGTCTGTCCTGTGTGTGACGTCACTGGCCGGCGGTGTGTGGACATGGCTGTACCGCTGTCTGTGTGTCTGTCTGTGTGTGACGTGTCCACCTCAGACGTGTCTCTGCTCTGTCCACAGAGGAGCTGTACCGTCAGCTGAAGAGCCAGGAAGGCGATGGGGTCATAGTGTTTGAGTGGGAGGATTTGGAGGAGGATTCGGAGGAGGATTCGGAGGAGGATTCGGAGAAGGATTCGGAGAAGGATTCGGAGGAGGATTCGGAGGAGAGTTGAGGACTCCAGCTGAAGAGCCGACAAGGCGGTTGGGTCATAGTGTACTACTGGTGATGATTGATGCGCTGCACTACCAGTACCGACCGTGCATGCAGTGATGAGCTGACTGCAGAGAGGCCGAGCCAGTCGGCCGGGGCCGCCAGCTGACTGCTGCCGTGTGGGCTGCACCAGCCGGCACTGAGAGCGGCGCCGGTCAGCCGGCACACGGCCCCGGTGTCCGCTCTAGTGTAGTCATGTAGTTGTAGTAGTAGTAGTGTAGATGTAGTAGAAGCCCACGGATGTGATGTAGTGGGTAATTACCCGGCGGGTATTGTGGGTAATTGGCTGGACGGGAGATGTAATATGGTGGGTAATTACCGGGCGGGTATTGTGGGTAATTGGACAGTGAAAAGTGATGTGCTGGAGTGACTACCGATCGTGGCATTACGCTATTCTGTATGTAGAACACACGTCTCGGACCGTCCGACTCGGTTCACCGCGCCTGGTCCCGGCGGCACGGCCGGCCTCGGTCACGTGACCGCTCCCCCGGTGGAGTCGGACGGCTCGGTCACGTGACCGCTCCCCCCGGGTCTGGCTGCACCTCGGCTCGGCGGTGCTGAGCGCCGTGCTGAGCGTGTTGTGACACGTCCCACACGGACAGCTCTACTCGACTACTGGCTAGCTGCCGTCCGAGCTGGCAGTATACACGCGGTGCCAGTTCAGACCAGTGGCGGATCCAGGGGAGGGCAAAATGGGCATTTGCCCTCCCCAAAGCTAAATCATGTGGGCAAGACTGTCCTTTTGCCCCTCCCAAAGCATATAGAGATGATAAAATTGAATACGGTGTCGAGGACTATCTGGACGAAAAGCAGGACTTTCGGTGACGGCCATTCCGAAGTAAGGAGCTGGACGCTCGCTGCTGATGATTTATGCCAGAATGCTGTTAATAGATCGAACTCCCTGAACTGATTGCATGTAGATAGTGTGGCGTTGTAAAGTCGTTTGGTCATCTCGGTGCTCAAGGGCAGCGGAAATCCGGATAGAGGGTGCAGGGGTTCAGCTCCAGACCCATGGAAAACATTGGAGTGCAAACATAGCTTTTTGCACCCTCCAAAAGCCGTATAAGAGGCCTGTCACGCCACCAAATACATTTAATCCTAAAAACCAGTGATCGGGAAACGAACGATCATGTGGGATCACCGATCATCAGACGTCCAGTTGTTGGTCAGGAGCGCCCTATGCTGGTCTTTGGGGCCCTCACCGGCTAGGAGTGTCCTGAACCGCGTTTGGTGCCCCATGACGGCATCTGAGGACCCCACGTAGACTCCAGGGGTTACGCTGCCTCTGAGGGCCCCCACGGCGGTCTCTGAGGGCCCTCGTGACACGGTCCTAGACTCATCTCAGGTCTGAGTGCCCATCGGGCTTTAGACGGCCCACGACGGCCTCTGAGGGCCCCAAAACAACCAGACTGCAGGGGCTATGCTGGCATCTGAGGAACCTGTGACGGTCTCTTGATGCCCCTAACGATGGACTCTGATGTCCTTACCACAGCCTCTGAGGGCCTTGCAAAGATACCTGAGGGCCCAGGGCCTATGAAGACCGTCATGATGGCCAAGGATCTTCATGATGACCTCTGATGGTCCTCTTGAAGGCTTCTAAGGGCCCTCACAACGATTTCCACAGTGATTCCACCCGAGACGTTCACTGAGTGCCCTCACGACGATCTCTAGGACCCAATGCAAGCTTCAAATGCCCACGCTGGCGTCTGAGGGCCCCACGACGGCCTCTGATCTGGCCTCAACGCAGGCAGACTGCAGGGGTCATGCTGACCTCTGAGAGTCCCGTAACGAAGGCTCCAAGGGCCCACGCTGGCCTATGAAGAACCCTACGACGGCCTCTGGAGGGCCTTAACGCAGGCAGGGGACACGCTGGCCTCGGGGCCCCGCGAAGATTTCAGATTCAGAGGCCCTTCACAACGACCTTTGAGGGCCTTACAAAGGTCTCTGAGAGCTTACGCAGGCTCGTGGGATTCCACACTGATTGTCAGGTCCCATGTAGGCTTGTTGAGACACTGTATCCGCTCCTGGTGCCCCTTCGCCGGCCTCTGAGAGTCTCAACACCGGAACTTCTTGGCCCTACACCGGCTTTTAGGACCATTACGTCGATCTTGGTACCCACGACCCATCAAATATGTGTCCAAGCGGCTTCTAAGAATCCTCATGCATGTTCCACGGACATGAAGCCGAATTTTTGGGCTCACACGGGAGCTCTTGGGACCCCATGAACGCTCCAGGGACCTACCTGCCTCCAAGAGCCTCACACATACTTTTGGGGCCCTAACGCTTGCCCCTGAAGGCCTCACTCAGACTCCTACCCTTTCCTCCACACCGGTTCTTTAGGCTAAACATCAGCTCCTTTGGCCTCTATCTCGGTTTTTGAGGGCCTCCATACAGGCTTTTTGGGTCCGATGCCGGTCTTTGAGAACTTTCCAGACTCTCGAGCCTACGCTGCTTTCTGAAACCCTTCAGCACCTTCTGAGGAACCGACCTGGTCGGGGACTCATTCAATCTGAGAAGTCGTGAAGGCTTCTGGAGGAGCCTCCATTGAGTCATTCAGTTTCCAGAGGTTTTTAACGGTCTTGTAAGAGCGGACCCGTAGGGCTCTCAAAGGTCCACTGCGGATCCAGAAAAGTGGTTTGAGGCTTGCGGGCGGTGGTTAGCATAAGAAAAATCACCCAGTAAAAAAACTTGTTGCATTTCACTTATTTAGGTATGCTGTGATTTTGTTAGGTTCACTGAAATATGCAAACATTTTGGATAACTTCCTGTATGGATTGTTTCCTTAACTTTAGGTTTTCATAAATCGATGATCGGCAGCTTAAAAAGTAAAGGGGCCCAAAACCTTCAGTGGGGCCCCTTGAGAAAATTTTGCATCCCCATCCAAAATTTATTTTACATTCCTCCCAGTGCGGGGGCGGATAGGGGTCGTCGGATAGGTCGGAAACTTTTGCCCTCCCCAACAGGGTTGTATACCAATCAAGTCGATTGAATTGATTGATTTGTTTCAACGCGTGTTTTGAGTTGATTGGATTGAGTCGATTGACTTTTCGAGATGACTGGTTGACTGACTCGTTTGACTTTAGCGACTGGTTGACTGATTTGATTCCCGAAAATTAGAGTGACTCGTATGATTGAGTCGATTGAATGGAAAGTTCAAATAAGTTTTAGTTGACGAAAAATAATGACACCAATTGATGACATCAAAGATCACAAAACTACACTGAAAACTGCTTGTCATCACAACTGCAGTATGGGGTAGATGGCCAAATAAAGAACAGGGCCTAAACATGAATAGCCAACTTTGACTTTCAACTGCAATAACTGCTCCAATCCTGGTGATAGAACCTGGCGATGCACCTACCTACCTTTCTGCACTCAGCAGGAAACGTTTTTTTTTTTTTAATCCAGATGATAAAGTGCAAGGCCCTATTCACATCTCCACCACATCTCCTCAGAAACAACCCACTGAACTGTATAAATATATGAAACCCCTACAAAAATAACTGAAACTAAAGCGCCGTTTTCGTCTCGCTAATTACGTTTACGTAACTAATTAATAGCTAATTTGCTGCATTGTTTAATTTGCAGCAGAACGTTTGTTGATCCTTTTCTCCTGAGAGCCTAAGCATAACATATCTAATATATTTCATTTTCCTCAAAATATTTTACCGAATATTATTAAGTGGTTTTATTTCAAATGAAATAATAATTAAAACGAAATTTACCGTTTTGCCTCGCAAATTAAATTTTCAGGGCAGCTGCCCCCACAGATTATCTACCACGAAACACCCTCAGCTAAGAATATAATTATTTTTCTTGCACGTGGCACGTGCACGTGTTTTAGGCCCATAGGCTTCAACATTAGGTGGATTTTTGGCATCGCATTTCTCGCAGACGGGTGCTTGTAATGCGATGGGCTTCTATGTGCTGGGTGGCCGCCCCGGCATCTACCATGAGCCGGCGGCGCCGTTTCGGGCAGAATCCATGTTTGGTGCAGCGAATGTTTGCCAAATATGGGCCGATTTCGACGAAACTTAAAACATTGTCATTTAAAACGAAATAATAATTAAAACACCCCAACTCTGGCACATGTATATGCAGTGCCTAGTGGGTGCCTACCTACATGCCAACTTTCAGCGCAATCGGCCAAGTAGTTACCGAGATATTGCAACAATTACAAAAGTGACACCTCTTCGTTTTGCACGTGGCACGTGCATAAGGGGTCACCCACATGCATCGGGAATAGTCCAATACTTGGTAGAAGGAATGAAGCTACCCTAAAAAAATTACCGCGTGTAAATCGGTCAAGTGGTTGCTGAGATATAAGCCTCGCAAAAGCGTGACCACGGCCGGCCGGCCGGCCGGCCGCTCATACTCAGAAATTTCCGTTAATCTAAGGAAAGACTACGCTCGCTTCGCTCGCTCCGTGATTATCCATTAAAATAGACATGGTGTAGGGTAAATGGCCAAATCACGAACACTTCCAAAATCCGAGCAGCCAACTTTCAACTGCAATATCTGATATTTAGTGTAAATGGAGTTGGAATATGGCCAAAATTAAATTGACAACTTTTAGGTGAAAGGTGGTGATTTGGGTTAAGGGGCGAGTCAACTACTGGGCTATTTTGCACCCATTAAATGAAACTTCTGCTCCAATTCTACCCATTGAACCTCAATATCATGATCCACCTGTCCATCACTAGGTATCCATCCTTATTACATAGAAACTTTGAATTGCATGGCAATTTATAATTTTAAATGACAATATTTTTATGTTTCTTCTGTAGGTAGGTAGGTAGGTAGGTAGGTACACCAGACTGCTACCAGCATCTGCGATGCTGGGCTCCGCATCGCGGGACCGCAGGTTGTTTGAGCAAGCACCTCTGTAACGCCGCAAAAACGCCCGCCGCCAAAAGAGAGGATGAGCCTTGCACGTGCAGACCGGAGTGGGTGTGCTATGAA